AGCATTCATACCGAAACAGAGTATTAAACAAACTCAAAATGCTAAAACTAAAAACATTCTTGAGCAAACATAGTTCACAAATTTCTTTATAAAAGTATTATTTTTCATATTTATTTTAACTATATTGTATGAATATTTTATTTTTAAAATAGATATCACTATTCTCCCACCATGATTCTGAAAAGAAAACAGACAACTAAATAAAATAACGTCATTTACTAGAGTTTCTAGAAAAAACTGCTGCAGTGTATTTATAGAACACAATATTCAACAAATTAATAAAAAAAGTTAAACAAATGATTCATAACTAATAACTTCATGACTTGCTCATAAAGACTTCACTTGTTTCATTCCTGAATTAATCAACGTTCCCTTTCGATACTTCACTCGTACTGCTACCTCCTCCTAAAACTACCTCCTCTTGATGAGTCAGTGGCTGCGCACCTCTGCCCACCCACTGCCATTGGATGGAAAGCGAAGGTCGCTCACCCCTTCAAGCCCTGCAGAACGACGTCTGCCCTCGCTGGACGAGTGTACTCCTCCGCCGGGCAGGCAGCCTCAGCTCTGCACTCCATGGCCGTGCTCCAGGTCTTTCAGGCCAAACTCCTCCAAGGCATGGACGAGTCCGGACCCGACACCGCAGCCTTCAAGGGACTGCGCAGTGCAACAGACCTGGCTTTGCGAGCTACGAAGGTTACAGCACAGGCCATCGGGAGGTCAATTGCCAGCCTAGTGGTATTGGAACGCCACTTATGGCTAAACCTCACTGAAATTAAAGAGGCTGACAAGGTCCCCTTCCTCAACTCTCCGGTCTCCCCTACGGGGCTGTTTGGACCCGCCGTCAAGGGATTTGCAGAGCGTTTTTTTCAGCGGCACAGATGTCGTCCCAGGCAATGAGGCACTTCCTGCCTAAGTGCTCCAGCTCTGCAACGGCCACCAGCCGCCCAAACTCCTCCAAGGCATGGACGAGTCCGGACCCGACACCGCAGCCTTCAAGGGACTGCGCAGTGCAACAGACCTGGCTTTGCGAGCTACGAAGGTTACAGCACAGGCCATCGGGAGGTCAATTGCCAGCCTAGTGGTATTGGAACGCCACTTATGGCTAAACCTCACTGAAATTAAAGAGGCTGACAAGGTCCCCTTCCTCAACTCTCCGGTCTCCCCTACGGGGCTGTTTGGACCCGCCGTCAAGGGATTTGCAGAGCGTTTTTTTCAGCCATAGAGACGGTTCCGCCAGCTCAGAGTGAGTCAGGCTTTTACAGCTGTTACTTCCTCGTCCCCAGAAAGGATGGCGGCCTCCGGCCCATCCTCGATCTCAGACACCTGAACCATGCCCTCATGAAACGACCATTCAGAATGACTACCATGAAGCAGATCCTCTTGCAAATACGCCCAGGAGACTGGTTCTTTTCTCTGGATCTGAAAGATGTTTATTTTCACATCCAGGTAGCCCCCCCATCACAGACGATTCTTGAGATTCGCCTTCGAGGGAGTGGCATATCAGTACACGGTCCTGCCCTTTAGACTGTCCCTAGCTCCGTCTTTTACAAACCTAGTGGTATTGGAACGCCACTTATGGCTAAACCTCACTGAAATTAAAGAGGCTGACAAGGTCCCCTTCCTCAACTCTCCGGTCTCCCCTACGGGGCTGTTTGGACCCGCCGTCAAGGGATTTGCAGAGCGTTTTTTTCAGCGGCACAGATGTCGTCCCAGGCAATGAGGCACTTCCTGCCTAAGTGCTCCAGCTCTGCAACGGCCACCAGCCGCCCCAGACCTGCACCAGCACAGCAGCCAGCGAAACCTGCGCCGCCACCCGCTCAGCCTACTCAGAAGCCTGAGCCCCGACAGCACTCCCACTCGGCCCAGGCTGTAGTTGGATCCTGTGCCTCAAGCGTCATCCTGATCTGCTGGGCAGGAAGAGGAGGGGGCAAAAAGTCTCGCCAGAGCCGGACCACTCCCAAAACGCCCTCTGATGTGCCCTCAAGCACCCTGTTCGGTTCCGGGTGCCAGTGGCAGTATGTTTGTTATAAGAACTGTTGTGAATACAGGACACGTTCCAAAAGCGCCCTCACAAACAGCCGCTGTTATAGCAAGAAAAATAAAAAACAAACATTTTCAAAAAGAGAGCAAATTTCCTCTTCCAGTTATCACGAGTGTCAAACCCCTCGCCACATGGGCCGAGGTCTGGGAGGCCATCCCCGGAGTGTCAGACTGTGTTCTGGGGATTATAAAACGAGGTTACTCACTCCAGTTCGTTCGAAGACTCCCACGGTTCCGCGGCGTATTCTCCACCTCCGTGCAGAGCAAGGACGCTCACGTCTTGCGATCCGAGGTGAAGAATTTACTGGCAAAAGGAGCCATAGAGACTGTCCCTAGCTCCGTCTTTTACAAAGTGCATGGACATGGCTCTCTCCCCTCTGATACAGACAGGAGTCCGCATTCTGAATTGTCAATGACTGGCTCATCTTAGCCCAGTCAGAAGCCGAGCTAATATCCCACAGGTCCCTCCTTCTCAGCCACTTAGAGCACCTGGAACTCAGGGTCAATTTTGCCAAGAGCTCTCTGTCTCCCAGCCAATGAACTTCGTTCCTGGGAGCAGTTTTCAACTCAGCCCACATGAGGGCGGTAGTCGCTCCAGAATGTGCACTGGCCATACAACAGCTCGCGGCGTCTTTCAAAATCGCCTCTTGCCCTCTCAAGTTGTTTCAAAAGATGCTGGGTCTCATGGCCTCTGCATCGCCGGTACTACAGCTGGGTCTGCTCCGCATGAGACCCCTTCAGTACTGGTTGAAACCTCAAATCCAACCCCATGTGTAGCGTCACAGACGCATTCATGTCAGGGTGAGCCAGGCCTGTGTAACCTGTGAAAAACCCACAGTGGTTCAAGCAGGGCGTGACTATGGGTTTGATTCACAGAAGGAAGATTGTCTCGACAGATGCATCCAACATGGGTTGGGGAGCTCTGTGT